GCAACCCCGCTCCCTCTGCCCCCCCGCCCCAAGGTTGGCCCTCCTGGGGCAACCAGCCACCGGCTCCTGGGGGGTTCCCGGCGTACCCTGGCCCTCCGGGGCCCTATCCTGGAGCACCAGGGCCCTATCCTGGAGGACCAGCAGGACACGGACCCTATCCGGGAGCACCTGGAGCATTCCCTGGAGCACCAGCAGGACCGGGGCCGTATCCTGCCCCAGGACAACCACCCAGTGGCCCTGGATTTGGGCCCCCTCCTCCGCAGGGGGGACCGGCTCCTCCGATGGTAATGGCTCCATCATATTATAAGGGGTTCCTGCCTGATTTTGCTTGCCCACGGGAGGCACCTGGGGCTGGCTGTCCCCGGGGCAGGGGATGGCACGGGTTGTCACTGTGCCACGGGGCTGCCCCGGTGTGTTGTCACACCAAGAGCCAGCCGGTGCCTGAGCATTTGGTTTGGATGTGGTTTTCTGCTAACACCAAACCCCCGTTGTCTCCCAGAAAGTCCCCTTCGAGCTGCCCCTGCAGGCTGGACTCGTCCCTCGGCTGCTCATAACCATCACGGGGAGCATCAACCCCAACCCAAACAGGTACGGGGGTGGGGGGTGGGGTTCCGTGGGGCATTGCTGGATGGAGCAGGGGGGCTGGAATTTGCTTTCCATTCCCCAATAACACATGCCTGGTGTAAAATCAAATATTACACAAAATAAATGTGTAAATGCCCTGTCATTGCCCAACAGGGTCTGTGGTGGGTTTTTTTTTTCCCCTGCCAGCTTGCTGCTACTTTTGGCAAGTCCTGTAACAGAGTCCAGGGCTTTCGTAGAAAAAGGAGCAAATTGGGTACTGTCCTTGCAGGTTTTCACTGGATTTCAAGAAAGGGAACGATATTGCCTTCCACTTCAATCCCCGCTTTAATGAAGACAACAGGAAAGTCATCGTCTGTAATTCGATGTTCCAGAATAACTGGGGAAAGGAGGAGAGGACAGCTCCGCGGTTTCCATTTGAAGCTGGAAAACCCTTCAAGGTACCAAAAAAACCCCCAACTTAGTATTAATGCACCAACAGCTCCCGCACGGCGTGCTAGGAGGGTTCGGTCAGGGCTGTGACACAAGACTCACGGCAAGGACCGGTTGGACTCGATGATCTTAAAGGTCTTTTCCAACCTAAACAAGTCTGTGATTTTGTGATTCTATGGCCTTGGTGCTTTTGCACAGCATCAGCACCCAGAGGTGCTTTCGGGGCAGCCGCCCACTGTGCTTCCCTTCTTAACCCCTCCTGCAGGGCCAGGTGCCTGGGCTATAAATTCTCTGTTATTCCCATTTATTATTAAATCCTCCTTACTTATGCCATCATTCTGCAGTCGTTGGGCAGGTTTCTGTAAGGCATTGCCCCCGTTAGCGGCCAAGCTCCCCTCAGAAGCTTCCTGCAAAACAGGTTCACATTTGGCTCTTGCTGCGTGAACCGTACGGTGCTGCTTCTTGAAAAGACTGTCGTAGGCACAAGGAGGCAGAAACTGGGGGCTAAAACACAAAGGAGGAAGAGGACGGCGGGGCTTTGAGGAAGGCAAAGGGGACCGGTGGTTTTGCAGCCGAGAGTTCCCGCACCGGCTCGGCCACGTATCTTCTGGACTTGGCTGGCAGCAGCCTTTAGCCAGCGCCAGCCTGCTCAAGTCTGTGGCTTAAAACTTCTTCCCAGAACAAATGCAATGGTTGTCTTTTGGGGGGGGGGTGTTTATTCCAGCTCCAGATCCTTTGCGAGGTGGATCACTTCAAGGTAGCGGTCAATGATGCCCACTTGCTGCAGTACAGCTTCCGCGAGAAGCGGCTGAACGAGGTCACCAAACTCTGCATTGCTGGGGACGTCACCCTCACCAGCGTCACGCCGACCATGATATAACTACGGTGGCGTCATCTTAACGCAAACTCAGTGCTCTTGATACAGCTGTAACAGAACTGCCTTCTTACGTGAATAATTTGAGGTAATAAACGTACTTTCACAAGTAGAATTTGTTGTCAATATCATCTCAAAAGACACGGCGTCCTCCAGTGAGACAATTTCAAATGGGGAAGCATCTGAACTGTAGAGAGAAAGAATCTCCTTGCCAAAGGACGACGACTAGGGGCAGTTTGGTTTGTATGGAGGGGAGTACGAGTACTTGGGAAAGCAGCCTGCGGCGCGCTGCCACCGGTCCTGCCAACAAGGACCACAACCTTCAACCCCACCTTCTCCGAGTACCAGGCAGCAGTCAGCAGCGTGGTATCTTGAGCCTCAGCTGCTCTGCTGGGTAGAATTCCTTATTCCTTTTGTGCTTAAGGAATCGAAATAGGGCAGCAAAGGACTTAAGTTCCTTGCACGGAGGAGGAGCAACACAATCAGGCTACGATGGGTTGTGCAGAATTCATGGAAGCGTTGCCTCCCTGAAGTTGTCCACTAGGAAACACTGGAAAACAGGGAACAGAGCCTCTGAGCCTGGCCAGAATGAGGTATTTCAAGGGGAAGAAGCAAAACCTCTCCCCTAGACCATGGCTAGGAAAGTTACCCCTCTCCTTCATTTCAAAGGCCCATTCTGCCCCTTTGGTGGGCCAAATCAGCCTGTCTTGAACACACTTCCCTCCCAAGGGAGATCCAGTTTGTACAAGCGTTACGCGCTCTGTGGAGCAGGTCGTGAGCCTCGTGCTTCTGTCCCGGTTTCGGCTGGGACAGAGTTAATCTGCTTCCTAGCAGCTGGCACAGTGCTGGTGTTTTGGATTTAGTACGAGAAGAATGTTGATAACGCACATGTTTAGGTGTTGCTAAGTGGTGCTTACACCAGGCAAGGACTTTTCAGCTTCCCCTGCTCTGCCAGAGGCACAAGTAGCTGGGAGGGGGCATGGCCAGGACAGCCAACCCCAACTGGCCCAAGGGCTATTCCAGACCATAGGGCCTCAAGCCCAGTATAGAAACTGGGAGGAGTTGACCAGGGGGAGAGCAATCGCTGCTCAGGTATGGGATGGGCATCAGTCAGCAGGTGGTGAGCAACTGCATTGTGCATCACTTGGTTTGTACATTCTCCTACCATTATTATTATTTTTTTCCTCTGCTGTTTTATTAACTGTCTTTACCTCAACCCACAGATTTTATTCCCCCCCCATTCTCTCCCCCATCCCACTGCAGGGGGGGGTAGTGAGCAAGGGGCTGGTTGGCATTCAGCTGCCTGCCAGGTTAAACCACAACAGCTTCTCTCCCCTCATTACTTCTGCATGAGTCAAGACTGGTTTCAAGGGTGGGGAGGTTTAGTGGCAAGTTCACCCCATGAGTCACGCTGGTTTAAAAAAAAAAAAATAAAAAAATGTATGTTCCCTCCACTGTGAGTCATTCTCCTGGTCTTGTCTGCAAAACAAGAACAGCGCAATAGCCACTAGTAGAGTTTTCAAGGATCCCTTTGGCATGTCTCGTGCTCTTTTTATAACAGTCACTTCATTTACACTTGGCGATGCCAAGGTTCAACGAGCACAGCGCTGAAATTTCCAGCAGATGCAGCAGCCTCGATGAGCACGCTGCTAACATCGGCTCAAGCGAACCCATCAGATGTCAGAAACCCCTCGTTACCGCTATTCACTGCAGCGCCGATGACGGAACAGAGCAGGCAAGCCAAGGTTTCTGTTTGAAATGATCCATGTAACTGGAGTTTAGTAATGAAGAAAGTCAATTCCAGCACAGTAACACCAAGGCACAGGAGCTTCCTCTGTTTATTTCAGTGTAATCAGTACACAGCTTCCAGGTGAAAACCTAAGTCAGGCGAGCTCCCCCAGCTGGAGTGGCAATGCTTTTTGCTGAGGGATCTGAATTACCTTTTTTTGGTTTAAAATAAAGCCTAGCGGAAGAATGTGTATATTACACTAAGGCCACCATTACAAGAAGAAGCCCAGTCAGGTATTTGTTAAAAATATAACAACTGGAGGTACTCTAATACTACTCCTCAAATATAGCGTATATGTAACTGGCATGCTCCTTATGCATAAATATATTACAGTCCCGACAGGAGAATGCATAAGGAACAAGATGCGAGGAGAGGCTGAGGTTAACGTGTCAAGTGTTCAGAGACAGAGGTTAAAAGATTTTCACATGAAGAAGCAAAGAGAACAGGGTTTGGCTTGAAGCTACTTAAGATAGTCAATAGATAACTGTGTCCTTAAGGGAAATAATGATCAATACCTATTTTAATGCACTGCCAGAGAAAGGTATTATCTGGCTTTAAAATCCGTGTTCTGAGATAGTTTCTACTACTGCAAAGCAAGGGGTTGTTAAACACCAGGAAGACTCCCACAGGAAAGATTTGCCTGCCCCCATCCCTGCCACAGCTGCTCACCAGGCAGTTGTGAATGCACAAACTCCAGGAGCCTAAGGGTGCCGCAGTTCCCTCGTGACAGCGATGTGAGTATGGAACTGTGCTCGGGGGGAGGCACCAGGCTGAGTCCTACCCCCAGAAGGTGCCCTCGCACCAGAAATGGGGCACGGATACAGCTACCCCGATAGGTCTCTTGTAGTAATCATCCATGGGGTAAGTAAGGTCAGGACAGAACAGCTTGAAGATGAATAGTTTCACAAATTGAAGGAGACAGGAAATACACAAAAGTATACAAAAATAAAAACATTTCCGGTTGTAGTCAGCCTATGCAATCACTGGGTACAGCAAACACCCCGCTACTGACACACCACAGTGCTTGCAGTGCACAGTGACCGCACCATAAAACATTACAAAATATTTTCCTAAGTTCCACTACAAAATACTACAGGTATTCATTCACTCAGAAGGGTAGCAGACTGCATTCCAGATAGCCTCTGTGGGGTTTGGTTTTTTTTTTTTGGTTAAAATAATTTACACATTTTGAATTTCAAGTCGCTCTTCATTTTCCCCCAGAAGGAGAAAGGGGAGAAAATACAATAAGGTCACTGAGTGCTTCAGCAGCTGCAAACGTTTGGGCTTTGCTCTTGACCGGAGTGAAGGGAAGCTCAGCATCCAGCATTGGCTGTGGGAGAAATCAGACAGTGAAGTGTTTGAAGCAAAGCACCTCTGCAGTGACACACACAACGTAAGCCAACAGCAAATTCCTCTTTCTCTAATGACACCTACACAAACACCAGACCAACCATAATTATTGTCAGGCAACGGCTCGTGGACATCAGGTGCCTGCCTGCTTCAGAGGCCACTTAAACATCACGGGACAAAAACTAGCAGAAGATGCTCTGACAAGAGAACCGGAGAAGCGTGCAGCTCTCTTGCCTCTCCCTCCGTACTGTGGACACGTCGCACCTTTAGGATAAGCAAAGCGCGGATCCGTCGGCCGGATCTGAAACCCGCAGCGATTCAGTAGATGCGCTAAGTGTACTAAAATGTGCTTGCTTATATACGATTCTGTTTCGAAGCAACAGCCACAGTTCAAAATCACCGCTGTAAGTGCCGTGGACTTTCTTAATTTTGCAAATTTATTTCCAGATGTAAAATAAGAAGCGACTATGTGGTCCGTTTCAAGCCATAATCCGTATTTTAAAGAGGACTTCTCACACAGGACCAACAAAACCATACCCCCAAATTCTTTTAACAATTTGAAAGTTTTTGCACACCCGCTTTTCCCTGTTGACTCTTACTTCCAGCTCTAAAAGATAAAGCTGTAAGGAAAAACAGACCTGGAAAACTCCAAGAAGAAAGTGGAAGGAAAGGGCCAGGCTATTCATTATGTTCATAAATATTTACGAGGAAATCCACAAGAAATGCAAATTAAAGGATCAATCGGATAAGAATCAGACATTCTTCTGTTACAAATGTCTTAATTCATCCTACACTCATCACGTGCAGTAAGGAATAACAGCGTGAGCCCGAGCAGGGAGCCAAGAATCAGGGCTCATATTTAACATTATATGAATTGCCTTGATAACATCTTGCAGAGTTAATTTACTTGGAGCAGTAACTGATTCTGTAGGAAAGGTTAACAGTACCGTAACATGCCGATTGTCCTAGGCAAATAAACCTGAAGGTCAGCTTACCGTATCAAAAGGATTTCTGCAAGTGGATGTCAAATCACTACATGAAACATCTGAAAAATAAAAATATTTTGTTTGGTTGGGTTTGTTTTTTTTTTAAGGTAGTCTGATGCTGCCAAAGATAAAAACCCAGTATTGCTCTCTGCATTTACTGGAAAAATAAAACCCCCTAAACTGTCAGTATTTACTTCTACCTGGAGCCTTTTATATTAGCTTTCTCCTTCATATATCACATGGAAACTACACAGAAAAATCCGGGGGGCACTGTTGGCTCATGTGCAACACCCATGTTAAGTCCTACGAGCCAAAGGAGGTTTTGCTAAGAGCATGCATAGATGAACAAAGCCACACTAACGGTGATGTCAAAAAGTCATGTTTAGACCATTATGAAACTTTAAAATAATCATAAGGCCCCAGCAATACCAGAGGAGCTACACTAAGCAGCTTTCAGATACACACCTGTCTGATGTATTTTTGTTTCTCCAGACTGAGCAAAGTTTGTCCCTGTGCAGGTCTCTGTCTCCGGACTGCACATGACAATATCCTGCCCTTGCTGTTCTGCAGTAGACAGTTCCATCTCTTCCATGCCATCCATTACTTTTGATTCACTGCTAGCATTTTCCAGCACCTGAAAAAGAGGAATTTTAACTGTTTCTTGCCCGCCAAGATGGCTGCAACAGCTATATTTGCTTCCCAGAGAGCCAAAAGGAAAGCATCAGTGAAATCAGACAGACAGGAGGCAGCACCTATGACACTAGGAAGGAAGCTTTCTTATTTTCTGTTTTGTCTGCAATAAAAGGAAGTTTGTCAGCTTTTGATGCAGGAAGCACAAAGGTGAAAAAGGTAGCCAGGATATTGGAGGGATGTGAGTTTACAGAAACCAGCACATCCCTGTTACATCAAACCAAGCCCATACATCTAATCTGCAGTTTTTATTGACAGTTCAGGAGA